CACCCTCACACTGTGCACATCAGGTGAGATCCTGCCCACCAGGGGGCGTGCTGAGCACCCTCACACTGTGCACATCAGGTGAGATCATGACAATCACCCGCTGTCCTTCTTCTCCTCTTTCACTAGACTATACTTGTGTTTTTCTTTCATGTGGGTGTGTAGTTGTTTATATATTGATTTCATATTAGTATTGAGTACTTTGGATACATTTTTCCCTATTAGTGATATACTTAACTAAGAAGAATGTGTTTCAGCTCTATCCAGGTCAATACAAAAGATGTAAAGTCTCCATCATTTTTATGGCTGGATAGTGTACATATACCACACTATCTACACTATATGTACACACATGGTGTACATATACCACAGTTTGTTAATCCATTCCTGGGCTGGTGAGCATGGGGTTGCTTCCATGACTTGGAAATTATGAACTGAGCTGCAGTAAACATTCTGGTACAAATGTCCTTGTGGTAAAATGATTTTTGTTCTTCTGGGTAGATAGCTGGTAATGGGATTGTGGGATGATATGGAAGGTCCACTTTTAGTTCTTTGAGAATTCTCCATCCTTCTTTCCATAGAGGTTGTATTAGTTTGCAGATCCCATTGAGAGCAGCTATTTTTCTGCCCACTCTGTCTACCCTTTGGCCATCAAAGCTAACGTGTCCATCCCTTATGCAGAACACATTCACCCCATCCCAGGTTCGAAAAGTCTTATACCATTATGGGATTAATTAAAAGTCAAAAAACATATTTCAACAGTTCACATCTCTTTAAAAAAAAGTAAGACGTGATGATAAGTGTAAAGCATGAATATATGGCCACAGCTCTTCTTCAAACTTACCACTGTTTACAGCATAGTATTATTAAGATTTCTTGAAATGTAACTTATGTACATGTGGAAGAGAGAGAAGGTACTTTGCAAATGTCATGCAGCCTGTACATCAAGTCTTAATATAAAGTGTATCGCCATATAGGTATTTGTCACCTTCTTGATAACATTTCTCTAATAAGACTCCTGAGTGGACAACTACTACTGTATATTTACTAGCATGTGGCATTAGGAAAGAACCACACTTCAAAACCTGTATTATGATCAGTTCAGAATTTACTAACGTTCATCACAAAAATAATTGAATAGATGAAAGAATACTTTAAAGCAATTTCCTTTGTGTTACAAAACTGTCTCATTAGCACTGAGAGGGTATCTTTTATCTTCAAGAACACCAAAGACTTTATAGCACATAATATGGACTCCAACCATGTAATGGCAGCGACACTGCTTAGTAGGGGCTTATATCTCACTATTCATTCCCATGCCTATGATAAACTTACATGTTTCAAATAAAGCTAATGGAAAGCTGAGGCATTACTTGATATAATTGAAGAATTTATAAGTGCTTATTATGCTATTTCGAAATACACCATGAAATAATTTTACTTGCATTTGAATGCCTTCACTATGATTTCTATTATCCTTCAATTATCACGTTGGATATATTAGGTGTTTATCCTAGTAAATCTGTATCATAAAATGTTAATACTAGCCCCCAAAGCATCTATTAGATCCAAGATTTAAAACTGTTTTAAAATGTGAAGATTTGATGAAATTGCTTTAGGGCCAGCCAAACAGAGAAAGTGGTTCAAGGTGAATGGGCCTCCCATGAGATGTCAGCCTTATGTGTTGGCCAGAACAGAGGGTTATCTTTTCTTTTTTTAAATTTACTGTTAGATATGGAATATTCCTATGTTAGAGGAAGGCTGATTTACACTTCTGGCCTCAAGCGACAATCCTGCCTCTGCCTCCCAAAGTGCTGAAATTACAGGCATGAGCTATGAGCCTCAACAAATATTTAATGAGCACCTGTTATGTTTTTAGTACTGCTCAGTTGTGAAAGAAGATCATCTCCATAACATAAAAATAAAATTAAAAAATCTCTGTAAAACACATCACCTACCTAGGCCATCATGCTTTCTCTAGAGAAGAGAGCCATGACCTGGAAATATTGCAGTATTTGTCCAAGATATAATAGAAGACAGCATTGAGACTAAAAATAAATCACACTTTTGACCCAAATTCCCTTCATTCAAAAGGACATTTAATGCAAACTTTTTGTGCAAACTTTTGTAAGCTTAGCTGTGGATCGTTGCTGTTTACTGAACTACATTCATTTCTGCTAAATAATTCAAGAATCTACTTGGTAAAACCTTCCACATGAACGAAACCTGTAATGGATCAGTATGGAGAAAGCCAGGGGATTTTCCCGATGCTGTTGAATTTGTAGACAAACCTCAAAAGAGAGCACATTTGAAATTTTTCCTCCCTGCTAAAACCATCTTGGCAAAATGGGAAAGGTTGCAGAGACATTTGTCTGCATTTGTTATACTGCAAATAGTTTTGGGTTTCTTTGTTTGTTTATTTTTTGGTCTGAAAAAGATTCCACAAACTATTGGCAAAGCAGAAAGTAATGGTAAAGGGATGTATGATGCTGGACTGTACAGCTGAGATTGTTTAAATGTACTCGTATGTATTAAAACTAGAGCAGTGAATGCCAAAATCTTAGGTATCAAATAGCCCAGGACATATGAGGGGTTTTATTCCTCATGCATATGTGTGTTTAGCCCTTCAGTACCTTCAAAACAAAACTAAAGAGCTATTCTTGGGTGAACATGATGACTTCTGTTCTCCAAAATGAGATCTAGCGACCTGGTAGTGAGACGCCTGTGTGCTTGTTTTAAAAATGCAGTGTTCCATCTAACAATTCTGTACTGGGTGTACAAATATTACAAAATGTTCACAATTCCCCAGGCAGTTCTGATGTACTTGGTCCATGAACCAGCTGGAACAAGGGTAAAAATGAGCGAACTGGCAACTTTTAATTTCCTGCTGGTGACAGCATTCATTGTTTTCCATAGTAGTAGAAAGAAAGTACTTATTTGGATAGTCTACCTTTATAAACTAACAAACATCAATACTAGCTGAACACACTTAGATCCTGACTTCAGCAGACTCTGGGCTCTCCTTACCAGAATAATTATGATGCCTACACCATCACCTTAATGGACCAAACCAATGAACGAATGATAATTGAATCTCAAAATTCCAGTGGTTAGGTTCAATGAAATTCAGACTGAAAATGTATAAGCTGCCAGAGGGCTAGTTTTACGTCTTTATATTCATAATCCTATACACAATTATTCTCCACAACAAAAGCTAAGGAAGACTATTTCCACTACAACATGAAATAATATAAAATGGAACTTAGATTTGACCTGTAGAAAGTTTCATTTTCTCTCTCTGTCTCAGCCCTTGAAGACATTCACAATGCTAAACTTTCATTGTCCACCCCTTGTAGGGATTGTTACAATTGGAGAGGAAAAGAAAATCTGTACTGTCTCTGAGAATTTCTTGAGGATGTGTGAATCTACTGAGGTGAGTGTTCTTAAAGCCTTTAATTTTGTCTTATTACTTGAAGACTATGTTGTAATTAAATATGTATGGAATTCTCTCTTATTCTCTCAGGGGTGATTGTGCTTGCAGCGGTGTTATGCAAGGGGAGAGAGAGTAAATATAAAAAACGTGGTCTGCCCATGTCAATTAAGAGTATCTTAAGTATTTAACATTTTTCTAGAAACCCTTAATGAATATTGAAAAAAATTAACGTTATATTTAAAGAGATGGCAGAGCTTTGTATGGTTGAAATATTACTGAAAACCATGATTATTAATCACAATCTCATCTTGATAATCAAAGTCTGTTAAAAATGATGGACTTAAAGGATTTAAAGAATCTGCAGGGGGAAAGACACTATAATGTGTTTTGATTGAGTTACTGGCTTATCACAGACTCACTTTTTTTAAAGATGTATGAAGTCTTGTTCATAAAACAATAGCAGTCCCGACCTGTCTTCCGCTTGTGACTCTGACACGTGTGGTTCTCTGTGGTTTGCGTTGCAGCTGAACATGACCTTCCATTTGTTTATCGTGGCACTTGCTGGTGCTGGGGCTGCAGTCATTGCTATGGTAAGACCGCCTAGCTCTGAAGCTTTACTGTTCAATTTGAATTTCAAAGTTATTTGCTTGTAGAGATGATAATTTATCCCTAATGTCTGAAGTTCTGATTAAACACATTTATTTAATCAATAAAAAAATGGAGAGATAGTGACCAATAGGCAAGCGAGTACGTAAAAAGCAAGGCTTAACCTAAGGAAGTGTTATCCTAGCAATAATATTTGATAGGTCAGGCATGGCAGGTCATGCCTGTAATCCCAGCACTCTGGGAGGCTGAGGCAGGAGGCAGCCTGAGCAAGAGCAAGACCCTGTCTCTACTAAAAACAGGCAAATTAGTCAGGTGTCATGGCAGGGCTTGTAGTCCCAGCCACTTGGGATACTGAGGCTGTAGGATTCATTGAGCCCAGGAAGTTGAGGTTGTTGTGAGGTATGATACCACAACACTTTATCCAGGGCGACAGAGTGAAACTCTGTCTCAAAACAAAACAAACAAAAAAATCCAAAACATAATATTTGATAAACAGTTTAAGCATTAAAACAATAGTGTTGGTAGCATCAGAAAATACCAGTAATTCATGAGAATTTTAGATATTAAATTACTATGGATGTTAAAAGCTTGCTTCTATAGCAAATACGTATAGGTAAGTTTGACATTCTGAAGAGGAATCACCCCTTTGCATTACTCTTGTTTTCTACTTAATTAAATATATAAAAAAAGTAATGTGAAGTCACTTAGGAAAAAAGATCAGGTTTTTCTCAAAATAAACCTTAGTAGTTTCAAGGTCAGTATATACTCAGGTATAATAAGTCCATCAGAGTACCTTTTAAAAAGTAGAGTGTAATAAAACATCTGCATTTCCTAACACGTGTACCTGTAAGGTTCTGTCTAAAAAGACATACCCTCAAGTGTACATGAGTGAACAATATCTGTTTAAACAGATAATGCCATTTAAATATCCCTGCAAAAGGTTATTCTGGGGGAAAATCTCGAAAGAATTTAAGATAATAGAAATATATATGTTATGTATTTCTTAAGGAATCTATGTTTTGTAAAATATGTATATTTAGATATATTGTCAATGTACACAAATTTTACTTCAAACAAGAAGAGTTAGAAGATTATGTTTCAGTGGGTATTTTGTTTTGTTTTGTTTTGAGACAGAGTCTCACTCTGTCTCTTTGGGTCAAGTGCTGTGGTGTCATAAGCTCACAGTAACCTCAAACTCTTGGGTCCAAGTGATTCTCCCACTTCTGCCTCCTGAGTAACTGGGACTACAGGCACCTGCCACCACCCTTGGCTAGTTTTTATTAGAGACAGGGGTCTCACTCTTGCTCAGGATGGTCTCAAACTCCTGAGCTCAAGGGATCCACTGTCCTTGGCCTCCCAGAGTGCTGGGATTATAGGTGTGAACCACTGTGTCTGGCCTATTTTTTTATATAGAGTTACCACTAAACTTCCTACTAGCTTAAATGATTGATGTTAGTATTTCCAATTTATTAACTCTGGTAGTAGTGTAGGTCTTACAAGACAGGTAAAATATAATTATGCCTACCATTCCTAGTACTTATATATTAGTAGTCCTGCCACTAATATTTCTTAAACACTTGATCTGTTGGCTCAGCACCTGTAGCTCAGTGGCTAGGGCACCAGCCATATACACTGGAACTGGTGGGTTTGAATCCAGTCCGGGCCTGCCAAACAACAATGACAACTACAAACAAAAAATAGCCGGGCGCTGTGGCAGGTGCCTGTAGTCCCAGCTACTTGGGAGGCTGAGGCAAGACAATTGCTTGCCCCCGAGAGCTTGAGGTTGCTGTGAGCTGTGATGCCATGGCACTCTACCAAGGGTAACATAGTGAGACTCTGTCTCCAAAAAAAAAAAAAAAAATTAATAAGGAGTCTACTCGGAGACTTTATAGAACTGTTAAGAAGTCCTACATGCTGACAAAATTAGTTACCTTAGTTTTTCAAAAACTTCAGTAATCACAGACAGTAACAAGCCTGGTGGTTTGTGGTCCCCTTAATTCATGTCCCCTATGACATATAAGACCCATTGGGAACCTCTGGGTTTTGAACTAGAGTGACCCTGATTCTCTTTTCGGTGTTTCACTCCTACATATGTAATAATTTAGGGGATGTGTTTTCTTAGATATTAAAAGGAAAGGTTTTAAACACTGAAAAAATATACTCATTTGGGCTGGGCATGGTGGTTCATGCTTGTAATCCCAACACTCTGTGAGGCTGAGGCAGGAGGGTCCCTTGAGCTCAGGAGTTGGAAGTCAGCCTAAGCAAGAGTGAGACCTGTCTCTACTAAAAATGAAAACCTAGTGGGGTGCGGTGGCAGACACATTTGGCAAACATTTTGAGTACATGCTACTTACACTGGGTAGTCTAAGAAAATACCACAAGCATATGATTATGTATACAAGCCTTCTGTGATTCACATGTATATAATGATCAAGCTTCCCCTTTGTAAATACCATGGTGTATGTGAATATAACTCACAGCCTCTGCTTTCAAGTGGCCTGCAGTTTCCGTTCAACAAAATGCAACATTTTAGAGGAAAGAGAACATTGTGAAAATAATTCATTTATGGTTTACATCTTTTCTTTAGATCCCTGTGGCCAAATATTTTATTTTATTTTTTACGATCAGTTGTTCACCTGGACGTGGCACACCGTTTGCTATTTAGTATTGAACATGTGTTCTTTCTTGTTCATCTGTACTTTGCTACAGTCATCCACCTTCTGCCTTTCAAGGTATCTTGAATGATTATCAAAAGTTTAGGGGGTTGTGTCTCTCAGTGTTAGGTAATAATATTGTCCGCCCCTGAAAACTCAAAGGAAGTAAATAGCTAACAAGTTAGTTTCTCTTCCCTACTTGTTCTTCAACGTCCATCATGTGGAAAACTACCACGGACTGGGAGGGAAGAAAGGAAAGAAAGGTATCTTACTGCCCAGGAGTTTTATTGCTAGACTAACTTTGTGATTCAAGACAAATTGGTAGCTTCCTTTTTGATATGGTACTATTCTCGGTCTTGTGAATGCACAAAGTCAGTTAAGTTCATCAGCTCATCCTAGAAAAAGTGCCACACACCTCATTGCTGAGTGTCACTATGGTCGCCTTTGAGGTACTTTCCCTGGGGAAGCTGTACACTGACGCCAGCAGCTAATTCACACTTCAAAGCAATTTTGGAACTCTTTTTCTGGAATGGTCATTAAAGCTGCTGTTGTATGAGGATCTTACAATTAAATTTGGGAACTTATCCTAGAAAAAGTGCTTTGAACATTGAAAAAATATATTAATTTATTTGGCAAACAGTTTGAGTATCTGCTTCTTGCTAAGTATTCTCCACAGCACTTAAGAGTGTGACAGAACACCACATGAATTTAACTGTGTATGTAGCTTGTTTGATCTTTACAGACGTATATATAGGATTAAGCTGTCTGATCTGGTATACAGAGGGTACCAAAAAGTGTATACATATTTTGAGCAATGTTATCTACATGTTACTTTTCATAGTTGAACAGAAAGTGTCATTCCCGGTCAAGTGTAACCTAGGCATGCTACACACATCCATTTTACCTGAAGTTCATACACTTCTTGGGATTAATTAATTTTTACTTCCAACAACACCTCCTAAAATGTGTACACATTTATTTTGTACCTCCAATATGGAAATGCTTTCTTATAATTTCTTATCTAGAGGAAAAAAATCCAAGTTCACTGTATGGAAAATTAACTTGAAAATTAAATCCACCAGTTGATTTGGATTCCGCTTTATATCTCACAGGGAGGTAATGTATCCTGCAATTAATGAAAGTCAAGTAGACACATGCTGCCTGTGAGGTTATCTCTGATTATGGATTGTAAACACGGGCATGAGATGCATGGGTCTTACAGTTTGGATATATGAGGAATGGGAACAGAATATACAGAAAACATGCCATAAAGATCTTGGATCACTTCAGGATTGAAAAAGAGATATTGAAAGAAAGAGTGCTAAGAATTCGGTATCAAAAGTGAAGATTATTTCTTAATTATAGTTTTCCTATTATCATAGACATTTGATTCTATTTTACATGTGAACATTTCTTACATAAATACAGAATTTGGTTGTTGCTTTCCTGACAGCAAGGTATAATGACCTGCAGTGTAAATTATTTTTGTCTTTAATTAGGTTCACTACCTTATGGTTCTGTCTGCCAACTGGGCCTACGTGAAGGATGCCTGCCGGGTGCAGAAGTATGAGGATATCAAGTCGAAGGAGGAACAAGAGCTTCATGATATCCACTCTACCCGTTCCAAAGAGCGGCTCAATGCTTACACATAAATGCGTCTTCCCATTCTTTCTACCATTAGAATGCATTGGTGTTTAACTAAGGGCCATCCAACCATCCAATCTTTGAAAAACAAAAATGAGAAGTGCTTCTCATCAAAGATCTGTAAGGCGACTCATGAGTCACTGCCTGAATACAATTCTTTGTTGCTTAGCACTGGATCTCCTAATTTGTCAGATCAGTGTGATCAGATCTTTTCTACAAGCTCCTATCCAGCCTTTTCTTTGAAATTTCTCAAACTCATTTAATAGCTCTGTAAAATCAAAGATAACGAACATGGTCACAGGTCAAGATTTGTTTGATTTTTTTTCTTAACTACTTCCCATGTGTTATAGACATAACTATCCTTTACTTTATTTCTTAATGTTTTGAAAGGAAAATAGCTTTTTATACGTTTTAGTTGTGATTTCGGTAACTAGTCTAACTATAGATAAACTTCAAAGGGACCATTGTATATTACAAACAACAGAAACAGACATAGATGACACCATGACGACTCTTGTTGAAATGCGGAGATTTTGTCTGAAGATCACCCATCAATTACTATAGGCCCTGGTTAAATGGTTTCATCAATCTAAGGTGCAATTTCTAAATTTGTAAGAGTAGGTCAAAAAAAAAAGTGCTTCTTACCTTCGTTAGCATTGTATTTTTTCTTGATGTACTTACAAGGTATTTCTCTATGATTACTCATGTTTATGTTGTGAGCATGTAGAAAAAGTAATGCTAATGCATGGCATTTTTAAGACTATGACACCAGACTTAACCTTTTCAAGTTTAGTACATAGAGACAATTTTAATGGAAATAACTACTGTGGACTACTAGAGAATGATCTCTTAGTGATTTAAGCAGTGGCTGGATGGGAACTTTTAATATGCTAATGTGGAACATTAATTACCTTTATGAAGGTGGTATATTAAAAATAAGCACACTAACCCCCTCCCTCAGAAGTTGTTTTACCTACCTTAAAAGTTTTCATGGATTGCACCTCTGTAAACTACTCCTAAAATGTGTATGATATATTTGAAAAGGCTTCCATTAATATAATAGCTTTGCTTGCAGACTTCCAATCTATGTCCTTTCCCTGTAGTGTTTTCTCAAGTGTGGTCAGAGGCAACCCCTGCAGAATGTGTTGTTTGGAAGTGTAGTGATATTTTTGTGTTTTCCTTTTAAGTGAGTCATTTTAGCCGAATGTTCATTCATATCCATTTATAAGAAGTACCTGTATCAAAGGAATAAAAAAAAAATCAGTATTATTGGACCAAATTTGTTGTTTGTTTTAACCTTGACTCTCTTTTAATTATTTCTAATGCTACAAGAATGCTGTAAAGTATCTTTTAAAATGATGTAGCCTGACAAACATTTTTGTCAGTGTATAAAACTAGGTAATATCATACACTGATTTGATCATTGTGAAGTCCTTTCTCAGTGTAACTGCATTTCTAATAAAATTTATTGAGTGAAACAATCTTTGTACAATGACTAGTCATGCACCATCAGTAATTTTCCAAGTTCTTGTAGTATGTGGGGGTGGGGGGGATTACTAGCATTATCTGTGGCATGATTATGCATTCTGTAGTATTATTTAATTTGGGGTTCCTTTTGCTTCATTTTTTTTACACTTAGATTATCTTACTGGTTCAACATTTTTATGATACATGCAGTATTACAGATATTTAGCAAAAGTATTAATGGGCTTCTTTAAATTCTATATTGTAGTGTTTCAGTTCTGTGTCTTAACAGTATGTGATGATTTTTAAAACTGTCTTTTAAACTTATGTAATGATGTCGACACTTTGGCTTTTGTTTCTGGCATTACGGTTTGTATTTTCACAAGAGTGCTTTGTAGCAGGCATTACAGTTAAATCTGTTTTGTACATAAATGTGCCAACAGCTTGATGGTGGCGTTTTTGAAATGTAGAGAAAAGTGCTTGCAAAATGTAATAAATACACTTGTGTACTTTGTGTACTTATTATTAGTTTCTGCAGTGTTTTTTTTTTTGTTTGTTTTGTTATTCCTCTTTTCTGTGTGTGTGTATTCTTTTCAAATGGAATAGATGTCATCTCCTTAAGATTCTCATTTAAGTTGAACTGACTTACCTTTCACAATTCAATGAAAATTCTGTGCACATTTAGTATAGAGACACCAAAGAATATGAGAGCAAGGTGAATAAGTAAGGACTTTGGGGGATTACTTCATTTAGAAAGTGAAAACTTTTTTAACTTATACTATTTTCTTGCCTGATTTCAATTGTTTTGAGTTTTCTTTAGTGCTTCATAAACTAATAGAAAAACAAAAAAGCTTAATGCAATTCAGAAAGAAAAATGATTTCTTGGTTTGCTTCAAAATATCAAGGTGAGAGCAAAAAAATGAAAATATATATATGTATATATTTTCCAGGTTTTTGTTTGTTTGGGATCTAATTTCTTCTTGTCAAATCAGAAGTGATGACAATTTAAAGATAATAAAATAGTTCTCAGTAAAACCTTATTTCATAAAGCCTAAGGAATTATATTAGTCTACTTATGAATTACAGTGAATGGCAAGATGAAAATTTTATAATCTTGCATTAGTGAGTAAATCTGAAAAGAAGTCTTAATTTTATCTTCAAAACTTATTTTTAACACAAAGTTATTTTCTTTTTTTTTTTTTTTGAGACAGAGTCTCACTATGTCACCCTCATTAGAGTTTCAGGGTGTCACAGAACACAGCAGCCTCAAACTCTTGGGCTTACGTGATTCTCTTACCTCAGCCTCCCAAGTAGCTGGGACTATAGGTGTCCACCACAATGCCCAGCTATTTTGTTGTTGTTGTTGTTGTTGTTGTTGCAATTGTCATTGTTGTTTAGCTGGCTCAGGCTGGGTTTGAAACTGCCAGCCTGGGTTCAAAATTATTGAAAATTATTTTCTATCTCAAACTTATTCAGTGATAATTCTCATTCTTTCCAGTGTTTATTAAATTCTTACCATAGCAGTGAGGTAATAATTTTTACTAATGAATACAATAAACATAATATTTGCTTTACAAAAGCTTTACAAAAAGCTTATTATTATAAGACTACCATATTTATTGAAAACTGAAAAAGTCCATTCCTTTTTATAAAAATATACATCTTATCTGTAGTGCAAACGATTTTGAAGGAGGGTTATTATAATGTTAAGCCTAAGGAGATTACTGACTTTGACAATAAAATGTACGTAGACCAGCTTCAATTTGGGGGTACAATTAGATTACTTCTTCATGTTAAAACTCACAGAGACAAGAATTGAATGATGGTTACCACGGGCTGGGAAAAGTGGGGGAGAGGAAGGAATAAAGTGGGGATAGTTAATAGATGCAAACATGTAGCTGCTTAGAAAGAATAATATTTCTTAGCAGAACAAGGTAACTAAAGTCAACAAAACATTATACTTCAAAAATAACTAAAAGAGTGGAATCAGGTCTTTGAGAGAAAAAGCAACTTCCCAAGTAAAAACTGGGTGTTCTTGGCATGGGAATGAAGCTTAACCAGCAATAATGTTCTTGAATGAAACTTCCAGGGTTTGAAATAATTAGCCTTTCCAAGTTGCCTAAATTGTCCATTCTGATTCATCAAAGCAAGTTTCTGTTTTTTCCTTAATTCCAGATTAATGTGAGGGTACAAACAATTAGGTTGCTATGCTTGTGTTTGTTAGGTAAAGTCCCTGTTGTAGTTGTGTGCCTCACTTGGGAGGCATGCCATGTACCCTTACATTGTGCCCATTAAGTGGGAGCTCACTAATCCCCCTCCCCTCCCTTCTCCCGCTCTTTCCTCCTCTTCCCCCAACTTGGGTTGAGTTTGTCTCTTATGTAGGCATGTATTAGATCATTTACTGGCTTCATATTAGTATTGAGTACATTGGATACTTGCTTTTTCATTCTTGGGATATTTTCTAAGAAGAATGTGCTTCAACTCCATCCAGGTTAAGACAAAAGTTGTTAAGATCTCCATCTTCTGAAAACATTTTCTTGTTGTGCAAACTGAAGACTTCTTCATAAAATCTTTCCCCAGGCTGCCATCATCAAGAGTTTTCCCAAACTTTCTTTTAGGATTTTTATCATTTAATTTCTTAGATTTAAATCTTTCATCTATCTTGAGTCAACTTTTGTAAGTAGTAAAGGGTGCGGGTCCAGTCTTTTACATGTGGTTGTCCAGTACTCCCAGCACCATTTACTGAATAGGGATCTTTTCCCCCAGTGTATGCATTTGTTTGGTTTATCAAATATTGGATAGTGATTAGAGACTGGTTTAATCTCTTGGTTTTCTATTTTATTCCATGTGTCTACATATGTATTTTTCTGCCAATACCATGCTATTTTGATCACTGCAGCTTGTGATATAACCTAAAGTCTGGTAGAGTGATAACTCTGGCTTTGTTTTTATTACTAAATATTGCCGTGGGTATATGTTTTTTTTTTCCTGGTTCTATTTGAAAAAAGGAAATCTTTTTTCCAGTTCTTCAGAATATGATGTGACATTTTAACAGGGATAGCATTAAATCTATAGATTGCTTCAGGTAGTATAGACATTTTTAACAATGTTGATTCTTCCCAGTACAGAGCATGGTTTGACCTTCCATTTGTTGATGTCTTCTGTTAATTTCTTTTGTTAGAGTTTCATAATTCTCTTTGTAGAGAACCTTTACCTGTTTTGTTAGTTATATTCCTAGGTATTTCATTTTCTCTAAAGCTATTGTGAAGGGAAATGTGTTACTCATTTACTCCTCAAGTTGGCTGTTATTGTCATATATAAAGGCTACTGATTTGTGGACATTGATTTTATACCCTGATTCATTACGGTATTTCTTGATCACTTCCAGGAGTCATTTTCTAAGTATGTGATTATATCCTCAGCAAAGAGGGAGAGTTTGACCTCCTCTGCCCCCATTTGGATGACCTTAAGATTCTTCTCTTTCCTCACTGCACTGGCTAGAACTTCCAGAACTATGTTGAATAGTAGTGGTGATAAAGAACAACCTTATCTGGTTCCAACTTTCAGTGTTACTCCATTATATATAATATTATCTGTCGGTTTGTTGTAGATGGCTTCAGTCAGTTTAAGAAATATGCCACCTATGCCTATTTTCTTAAGTGTTCAGGACGAAGTGAGAGGAAAAAAGTAGGGAAAGGAAATGAACAAGAAGAAAACACACACAAGGAAGAACCAAGTGAAAACTTCTGGCAACATGAAAAACCGGAACAGAGCAACCCCTCCAAGGGAGTAAGAGGTAACTACAGCAGAGGATTCTACCTGTAAAGAAATTATGGAAATGACAGAAAGGGAATTTAAATGATGGATGGCAAAAGCAATAAGTGAATTGAAGGAAAAGTGGAAAATCAACAAAAAGAAATCCAACTGACCCAAACAATGAATGAAAGACATGAAGAAAGGAGAACGGGCACATCAGAACTTAAGAAATTGAAAGAGACAGTCAGGGAACTTAAAGACACAGTAGAAAGTATCAATAACAGAGTACAACATGGAGAAGAAAGAATCTCAGAGCTAGAGGATAAGGCTCTTGAGCTAACTCAGGCATTAAAAAATCCAGAGAAGGGTGACACCTGTGGCTCAGTGGGTAGGGCGCTGGCTCCCAAGGTGGCATGTTCGAACCCAGTCCCAGCCAAAGTGCAACAAAAAATAGCCAGGCATTGTGGTGGGCACCTGGAGTCATAGCTACTCGGGAGACTGAGGCACTAAGCCCAAGAGCTGGAGGTTGCTGTGAGCTGTGATGCTACAGCACTCTACCGAGGGTGACAAAGTGAGACTCTGTCTCTATAAATAAAGAAATAAATAAAAAATCAGAGAAGAAGAGAGAAACAGCAGAACAATCATGTAGAGAATATGGGATTTCATAAAGTGTTTAAACATATGAATTATAAGGATCCCTGAAGGGGAAGAAGAACATCCCAGAGGAATGGAAGCCCTACTGGAGGACATCATAAATGAAAAATTCCCAAGTTTCACTAAAATTCCAACACACTCCATTTAGAGGTATATCAAACTCTGAGTCATCTTAACACAAACAAAGCATTTCAAAGACACATTGTAATCTACCTGTCCAAAGTCAAGACAAAAGAGAAAATTCGGCAAGCAGCCAGGAGGAAGTGCCAACTGACCTACAGGGGCAGAGCCGTCCAGGTGACAGCAGATTTTTCAGCTGAAACTTTCTAAGCCAGAAGAGATTGGTCATCTACCTTTAACTTTCTTAAACAAAACAATTTGTAGCCCAGAATTCTCTATCCTGATAAACTAAGCTTCCAAATTGATGGAGAAATCAAATCTTTTACTGATATACAAACATTGAGGAATGTTGCCACAACCAGACCAACTCTACAGGAAATACTTAGATCTATTCTCCATCTTGACCATTACAATAGACCACCAGTAAAATAAACACCCAGAAACAGAAGGACAAAACCTAGTTCCTAGAGCAGCACAAAAGATAAAACTAAGTAACAGACTTTCACAAAGGAAGATACATAGAACCCCACCATATATATCCATTCTCTCAATTACTGTAAATGGCTTGAATTCCCTACTGAAAAGGCTGGCTAACTGTATAAAAAAGCATAACCCATTCATATGTCTAGGAAATACACCTAACCTTGAAGGACAAAAAAAGACTCTGGGTGAAAGGTTGGAAAACAGTATTTCAGGCAAATGGAAATCAGAAGAAAGGAGGGGTCACAATCTTATTTTCAGATACAAATGGATTGCAGGGGTCCTTAAACTTTTTAAAGAGGGGGCCAGTTCACCGTCCCTCAGACTGTTGGAGGGCCGGACTGCGGGCCCCGGGATGAGTCGGCTGCTAAGCAGGACAGGCAGCAGCTGCAAAAACACCCAGCAGGCCAGATAAATGTCCTAGGCAAGTTTCATGTGACCTGTGGGCCATAGTTTGAGGATGCCTGATTTAAAGCAACTAAAGTTAAGAAAGACAAAGATGGTCACTTTATACTGGT